ACATTTACGTCCAGTGGTTGTGCCCTATCTTCGAGGCACACAAACGCCATTTTCCAGCAAGATAATGCAACATATTGCACGTCGTACTCTAACCTTCCTCAGTGTACACAGGGTATTCGATAGTTGCCCTGGGTTGCACGGTCTCCAGATCTGTCACACATTGAAAACATCTGGTCATGGGGTTGCTGAGAAACTGGCCCGCCACTCCTCTCCCACTAATATGGTTGATGAAGTATGACACATACTTGAAGCAGCATGGAATGTGTTGCCCGTTTCTATCATCCAATCCCAGTTTTAGCTGCTAGGAGTGGCAGCTGTTTCTACTAATTTTTCATTGTAAACCTCCAAAATGCTTATAAATTTAATAATTTTGTCTTCATGCCATACTGCTTACGTACAATATTTTTTTTATTTTATTATTATTATTATTTTTTTTTTTTTATTTTGCTATTTTTTATGGTGTTGCAATTTTAATGGCCAACAGTGCCTATAGGGTTTTTTTAATGGTCAACAGTGCCTATAATTTTAATGGCCAACTAGCCCATAGGGTATCCGCCCTATTTGCTTATATAACAATTAAATCGCTGCATGAAAGTATGGCCCTTGAAAAACAATCACATTGTCTTCGAAAAGTATCAAAATATTATTCACTTTTCGCTTGCGCTGTCTAATACCTTTGCAGAAAAAAAAAACCAGATAAATTAATGAATAAAATGTAAATAAATTTCGAACATTGAACTAAACATTTAAATAAATATTTTCAGTTTAATAATAGAAAATATCTCGGTTAAGAGATAGGGGAGAAAATGCTATTACTAAATATTATAGAAATATTAGTTAATAAATATGAGTATTTAGAACAATATAAAAACTGAGAACGCAACTAGAACAATATAAAAAGAAGAATTATTTAGAAGTATACTATTATTTAGAAGAATTATTTATATTTAGAACAATATAAAAACAGAACACCGAATATTTTAAACATGCGATAGAGTGTAAACAAAGCATAAAATCCAATCCTTCTACCAATCCTAAAACGCAAATTTCCAATTGTATTGAAATTTTCTTATGTTATTCTTTGAGTTCGAATGATGGTATATGCAAATGTTCTAACGTCAAGACGAACAAGATTGGCATATTGCCAAAGCGAAGAACTTATTGAAAGCGATCTTAAGGAACTTTTTCAAGTAAATAAATAAAAAATTAATTAAATCAAATAGAAAATTCAATTTCTAAGTATGGATGTGAAAGTGTATTAGAAACAGAAATAATATAGCTTATAAAATCATTAATTTCTTTAATCGGCAGTTTAAAAAGTAATTTTCGTAGTTTTTTTTTATATATATATATTTGGCGGCTGCTTCTCTAAAAGTCTTGAAAAATACAATTTTTAAAATTCAGTGGTGAATCACACTTCATTTGGAATGACAAATGCTTTCTTTAGTTTGCGATATAAAATCTGAGACTGTGCAATGACAAAATACCGCCTCTGAGAATAGAAAGATATAAAAAACTTGTTAAATTCACAAAACAAAGTGCAAAATAATAAAAACCAAGCTCATAACTTGGATTTTGAGATGTACATGATCGGGTGCTAGGCTATGCGAGTTTAAAATTAAGTAGCTCATGATGCCACCATCATAACACAGTGCGATAAATTCACATACCCTTTCACAAATTCTCATGGTTTTAAATAACTTATATTCATTTTTATAATTTCAATTATTTCATTTTATAATTATTTTAAATAATTGATACTCGTTTTATAATTATTTTAAAGTACTGATAATCATTTTTTGTTTTAAATAATATGTATTTCATAATATAATTTTGTAATGTAGGGTATAAATTTTAAATATTTTCATTTCGTTTCACTAGTAAGTATTTTGTCATGTGTTGTGGATGATACATGAGATCACCTATCTCTTTTCAAGAATTTATAATAGTGATTTATGTTAATGATGCGGGTGTTTCATAGGCATCAGTCTTAGACTGCAATACAATTTGCATTTAACTTAAAATTTCTAGTCCAGTAAAAAAGCTCCGTGATCATTCCAGTTGAATTTTTGACATAGTTCATCATGTAAATTTTAATTCATTACTGTAATTGTTAAAATATTTTACTTTATTTATTAATTTTATGAAAAAAATTATTCCCTTTTATTCAGAATAACGTTTACTATCGAGTTTCGATTTAGTCAAAAAACAAACTTAGTAAATTCGTTTTTACGTAGTTTTTCCTTAATTATCATCTCAAGCTCTTTTTTAAAATTAATTTTTAACTTCATTTTGTTGAAATCATAATGTATTTATCTGAGCGAAGTTTTTATACTAAATAAAAGAACTGTTTCGGCGAAATACTCTAAAATGTAGATATTTAGACTTCAGATTTTTGCATTTCAGCAGGCATAACAAAGTTACCATTTTTTTGTTTTTTTACATGTACAACTTCTTTACATAATCTAAGCTCTTTAATGCCAAAAAAGCCATGTCTTTAAATAACCGATAATACTCATCATTAATACAGTTGGACAGGAAATCGTTATATTTTATTGTAGTTCTAATATTTTGTAAATTAGAACTCTGCAAAATATGTCATGTCCAGTATTTTTGATTTAAAATGTTAAAATTTATTAAGACTCAGCTGTTCTCGACTTTCTTTGCCCATCTGCTTTTGGTCTGGAAAACTCAAAATTCTAAGAAGTTGCCTTATGTGATTTGATTTCTTCCACTACTCCAGTTCGAAGGTTCGGAAGTAGCGACTTACTGCATTGGTACAGAAAAGATATGCCACTTAGTTTATCTGGCATGGCTAGAAATTCCTTTACTTGACTGTAGTCTGAATTTCTTCATATGTCTTAAGAAAGTCTTTGACAATTGCAACAAGAATTGGTCTTTTTTATATTCCCCTACCCTCTTTCCCAGAAAAAAAAAAAAAAAAAAAAAAAAAAAAAAAAAAAAAAAAACCACCTTATCGGGCTTTCTCATGTTCCTGCTGATTGGTTACTTCTAGTAGCTTTTCAACATCGTCTCCAGCTCTATGGAAACTATCTCCTATACCACATTGACGTTATTCACTGCCTCACGCTGGAATTAGCATGTTGCAGCCTCCTCTAAGCTAATTTGAAAGCCATTTTGAATGGCCTCGAACCTAACCTTTTTATCAAGGTGATGGCTTTCAAATATGGAATTTTTTCTTCCGGAAATTTTTTTATCATCATATTAGATGCAAGCTAGCATGTACCAAATCACTTTCTGATGGGCTCTCTAACGCGCAGCGTTTTGAAATTGGGTTAAAATTAGGATTTACATATGGTCTATCGTTTGAAAGAAAAAGGTTTTAAAATGAAATATTAGATCTTTACAAAGTCTACTTAAATTCCGTTTCTGTTGTAGATATTTCGGTTGGTTAAAAGTATTAGCAAGCGACGGAATAGTTTTTTCCAATCGCAAGCATGTCAGATGTTTTTGACACAGGATGCAAAGTTTTATAGCGTGCTTCAAAAATTGATTGGATGATGCAAGTTTTTTAGTTTGATCTTTACGTGACAAGCAGCTCTGAATGACATCCTGTATCTTAAAAGCTTTAAAATATTGTGAGTGATAAATATATAGGAATTTCGGCTTCAAATATCCCTCTGAATTATCTGCAAAGTAGATCCAAGAATGTTATTTCCATTTTATTTTTTAATCTTCTTGATTTAAATAAAAATGCATTTAGTTCATGATAGAGCTAACTAAGAACATTAAATAGTTATATAGAATTACTTTATATATTTATTTCTTATTTTTCAAATATGAAGAAGATATATAACGTTCCCATGTTAGTCTAAGAGCATATTAATCTAATATCCTATAAAATGTTTCTCTATTCCATTTGGAATATTTCTATTGATTTTCTCTATTAATAAACCACATTAAACTTTAAACAGCCGTTTAAATGATCGTTAAAATCTGAACATTTTTAATTTTTTCCTCCTTTCTTTTTTCATTTATTTATCACTAATTCCTTATTTCGCATAATAATAAATTACATCCGGCGAATTTTGTTTTGGAAACTAATGAACATGTTATACAGTGACTACCTATACAAATGAAGCAAATTATACGAAAATGTTTTATAAAGAATTGTAGAGACATTAGGTTATTTCGAAAGCAGGAGATATGGAAAAGGTGTAATGCCCTCGCCGGGACTCGAACCACGAACCTCTCGAATTTGCGTCGAGTGTGCTGACCACTACACCACGAAGGCATGCTAAAAAGGCGGGAGAAATACATTATAAAATAAGCTCTTTATCTTTAAAATTTACATCTTTGTAGGAAACTTTTAAAGCATTTATGTGCATTAAAATCAAATGAAATATAAGAAAATTAACGAGTAAATTGGGAATAATTTGTAAACAGTAGAAAACTGAAAGACTATAAAAAGCAAGTTATGAAAGTGGATAGAAATCCTATGAAAAGTAAACAGTAAATTCAGAACGTGTGGCCAAGGATTTGGCAGTACTCCAGGTATTGCGTGTCAAAGGAACGTTACCTGCTTTGTCATTTAAAAAACTACGGTGTATTAAGTCAAATGCAATAGATTTTCGTGAAAAGAAATGTAAACAACGTGAGCTCATCCATTAAAAATACAAAACATTGGACTTTAAAATATAGTATGTTACTCTAGCTGGTTAGACAGGTAGATGCAGTTTACAATAAATATTTCATTCAGCTGAAAATTGTAATGATAACTGATAAATGTCATAATTACGTGTTTTTCTTATTTTTTTTTTTTTTTTTGATGATGATAGCAAAACAAAAACATTTTTTTTTAAAAACGAGGGCACAATAAAATAAAAATAGATAAACGTGATAAAATAAAAATTCCAACTATAATAAGATAAAAAACGAGGTATTTATGAAAGATATAACGGTGATAAACAATGAGAACTTTTTATCGGATCTTACAAATTTGAGTTTATACTTGGAAAGTGCAGCAAGGGGATATTCCTGCAATTCAAAACCAATAGTCCGTGAAAAATACAAATCGATGTGTTATAATGTAATGAGAAATATTTGTCCTTGTGCGCATACGGTATATAAACTGAGACCTCGAAAGCTACTGAAAACTGTGCAAGGTATTTTTTATGTTAATTAACATGTTATAATTATTTAAGCCTTTACCATAACTTCTACTCTCCGTAGAATGCAATTAGTTGTTGTGTGTGTTTAGCTAAAAGTTTCGAATGTTTGATTAAGGCTTCTGGCATCCGCGTCTTGCTGTTTCTTACTCTTGCCAGCTCTGCTTCAAGTTACATCCCGGCTTTATCATCTTGCTAGCACACGTTTTGAAATACTCTAAGGTAAGTATATGACCTTGCCTAAAAGGATTATTATATGTGCCGTCTCAGACTACTTTAACTACATTGAAATTTAACCCTTTATACCTGCAAGGTAGCGGAATGTACTATTTTTACACACAAGGTAACGGAAGTTCGTTTGTAGCACAAGCTGTGCCTGTTCTGTTTCAATTTAAGCTTAAATAACAAAGGTTAATTTAACCTTCTTCCAAATTTGTGATTGTTTCAAACTCAGTGATTATTCGTTTCTCAGTCTGATAGGGTATGTAGGATTTTAACTCAAACTTCTAACCCTACAGCTGCAAGCTGAAACTTTGAAAAAAAAAAAAAAAAAAAAAAAAAAAAAAAAAAAAAACAGACTTGGAGATCACGTAATTTTGCGTATCTTTTTACATTAAAGACGTCTATACCTAGTCGCACCATATTTCACCTAATATTATGTATCTTTAGCTTGCATTACCACATTTTTAATCAGCCATGTGGTCAGGTAAAGTGACAATTCTAAAAACTGTTGCCAACTATTAGCATTCTGGCAAAAATTTTAGTTTTGAATAACCAAGGTAATTATTTCAGGAGTACCAGACTAAATATCCGGAGAGAAAAAACTCGTCTCCAGACTTGTACCGCCAGACACATAGGTAAATGCTATAATGCCTTACGGACAATCCTGCTTTCTAATACTTTTGGCTTACAGAATTAAAACCATTGAACTCAGCGCACGTGTTTATATGTTCTTTATCCGCGGGTTGCAAGAGACGCATAGAGAACGCACTGGAGAGTTCCTGAGTCTAATGTCTAGCAGATAAGCACAAAACAATTAAGTGCAGTTAAAAAATGGAATGATGCCAGAATTATAGCACGAAGATAATTTGAGACTAACATATCTCTTGTCCAGGAGACATTGCCATGTCTTTTCCATAGCTTTTACTCTCACAATTCTTTTCTTGCTCGTTATAAAATGGATCATTCTTATTTCCCATGTTTATTAATTGTCCATGAGTGACACGTGATTTAACTTTGTTGTCATCCTCAGTACTTCTCCGGTGATTCGATTGCAGGCATACATGTCCAAAATCATGGTCTGAATGTAGAAAATACATATTATACAAAAGTTGTAAAATACGAGCTTTTACAAGGAAAGGATGAAAGGAAGTGAATTGCTCAGATTTAATAAAAATACACGCAGTTTGTACAAACACGACACAAAATATTACCACCACCAGAAAGAAAAGAAAATGAAGACTAATAGAAAACCTGTTAGACATAAAAAATATACAGAGTATTTACACATTTTTAGAACAGATTCGATAAAGAATGTTTTTTTAAAGGCAAATGTTTTGGAATAAAAATTTCTGGCAACAGCTTATTATTTAAAATCAGGAATATCGTCTGTTACTTTTAAATTTACAAAATGTCGCCTGTAAACAAGCTGTGGGTTAAAAGAGATGATTTTTCGCTTTTCGAAAAGAATTATTCTTATTTCGCAATTCAAAAAAGTTGTCAAATGCAAGGTATTAAAACTTGTAAGTGCAAAATAAGTAATAATTTTAATCGGAAGGATAAAATCTGTCTTCACCTTTTACATGGAAAAAAAAGACTCCAAACGAATGCCCAAAAAGTTACGTACCGTTCCTAAAGTTAAATCGTTGACGTTAAATAAGCGCCGACGTAGAAATGAATCACAAAGCCTTTTAAATACATCTATAGTAACAGTAAATAAAATAACAAACCAAAATTTACAACTTAAAAAGTCAAAAATATAATATTCACCAGGTTTCCCCGAATCCTGTGGCTCAACGCAGAACGATTTGCAGTATTTTATAGAATTATCAAGTTACATGAATGCAGTAGACGTAAGAAATGTGCAATGCCCTCACAAGATTCGAACTCCACACCTCCCGATTACATGTCGGGCATGCTTCCAATCACACTACGAAGGCACGCCGAAAGAAGGGAGAAAATATACCCGTTTTTATATACTCGTTTTATATACTTATATACTCGTTTTTTAAAGGGTGACTGAAAATGGGAGGATCCCATCGCCAGATTCTGTTGGTGGTGAACACCATTTTTAGTTCGGGCGCCACCTATAATGTCTTTTTTAGAATTTTTAACCATGTGAGGAAACTGAAGAATTCCGCAATGCCCTCTCCGGGATCTCCCGATTACGCGTTGGACTTGCTTACATTTACACCAGGAATGCACGAACGAAGGATTGACAAAACATCTTATAACCTTTATGTAACTTTATAACCCTTACATGAAAAAATACCTTATATATATATGCTGTCGGTAGTAACATGAAATAAATGGAAATACGCTGTGACTCTTGATAAAATATGGATTATTCTCTAAAATGACTGGAATAAAAAAAAGTTTATTTATTATCGAAAACGAAGAGAATAAAGTGTACAAATCAGGTTCTGTTAATCCAAAGAAAGTTTCAGTAAGGAGTTTATTGATTGTTAAAATCAACTCCATGTGATATTAAGAGAAACTTTTACGCCCGATATTTATGCAAGAAATTATGTTTCTTTATCGCAACGACTTTCAGGAAGTGAAACTTCATCAAGACAAAGCAACAAATCATACCTCGAAAAGTACCACTACATTCCTTGGAGAAATGGAGACTGATACTGGTTGCATGTATATCTCTTAACGAATTTCTGTGAAGCCTCTTGACATTTTACCTATGAACTCTTAAGCCTTTTTTCTGATGAAAAGAGCTCTTTCTAAGCGCAAACCCACCACGATAGATGGACTAGTAGTACGATAGAAAGTACTAGGACCACGATAGAAAGTAGTGGAAGAGGAATGGAAATCAATACCCATGAAAATTTTATAAAAAGCCTTACTATCATGGAAATCGTGATGCAGATTCCATGATAGTAATGCACAGTAAAAAGGCTATCAGATCAAACATATGTAAAAAGATAATTTTCTCAAAAAACAAATGTGTAAATGTTCTCAAAGTAAAATTACTAATTTTTTTACGAAATATATCTATTCAACATGAATAAAAATTGATAGTTTGGATTATCCGTGTTTTTCAGTTATTCGTGCCTTGTTTCCTGATTATTCGGCATTAGTCCGGATAATCATAAGTATACATTGCTTCTCTTTTAATGCTGAAATACTATCTTAATGGAAATGAAATTGCGAGAAGTACATACTTTGATAGCTGGTACATTTTGTTGTTGTCTTTTTTTTTTTTTTTTTTTTTTACATACTATTCTACAGCCTTCTCAGTACACGGCAAAACCTTGTAGAATCATTAGGTTAATTGAAAGCAAGAGGGATTGAAAAATTAGCAACCGCCTTCGCCGGGAATCGAACCACGGACCTCTGGATACCGGCCATACAACACCCTTTTAGTTCGGGCGCTACTGTAGAGACATTAGGAAAATTTTGGAAGCAGGCAAGATGAAAATGAGCAATCGCCTTCGCCGGGAATAGAACCACGGACCTCTGGAATACCGGCCCAGTGTGCAGAACCACTACACCACGAAGACACGCTAGGAAAGTGGGAGAAATACCTTATAACCTAATCTTGGTCCTCATTTCGTGCATTTAAGTCGTTTTCAAATTTTATTTGTTAGGAACAAAAGAGAGGTGAAATTGGAATATAATCCTAGTGGTATGATTTGCAGTTGTCCAGAAGCATACATACATTATTCAGATAACTTTAGAATGATAACGTTTTTAAGAAATTTATATGTTTTGGAATAAAAACTTCTGGCAACAGCACATAATTTGGAACGAGAAAAATCGTCTGCTGCCTTGAAATTCATTGTTCTTTCAAAAGTTATTATGCTGCTGATCTAGGAATATGTTTTTGCCGTTTCTGAACAAAAATCCTCATTTCACGATTCAAAAACGTTCCGAGGTTCGAATCCCGCGAACGGGCTGGCTGCATGGGGCGTTTTCGTGGTTTTCCCCCATGTGTAACGTGTATACGAGCCAGTTTCCCTTAGAAAGTCCTCCACGAAAGGCATCCCTACCCTTAGGCAGATAGCCCTAGTGTGCTTTGCCATAATTAAATACACCACACCACACCACACCATAATTAAATACACCACACACACCACTTTTCCAGTATATGCTGCCAACTAATGTTAGCTCAGATAACGATTTTTGCATTTGATTTTCATGAAGAGTTCGATGATAGGGCATATAAAATTTATTCTTTTGCAATCATCATTTATGTTAATTCTCTATAAAAACTCCTTTTTTTTATTCTCTGAAAGTTATTGTATTCTAAAGGCTATTCTAAATTTATTCTTTTGCAATCATCATTTATGTTAATTCTATATAAAAACTCCTTTTTTTTTTATTCTCTGAAAGTTATTGTATTCTAAAGGCTTAAGATTACAGTATAATACCTCAAAAAAGGATTTTTCTATAAAATGTGTCCAAATTAATATAAAAAAGAATTCTGTAGCAATTACGCACCATATCAGATTAAAAATTCTTTGAAAAACACTCAACAACAACAAAAAAGGCCATACAACTTAATCAGTTTCATGAATTAAATGCATGTTTATTTATATCATATTAAATATTTTTTAAATAATTTTTAAATTGCCCGCGGAAGTGATAACGCACGGCTTTTAAATAGATGAATTTATTAATCCAAAATTAATTAAATTTACATATTTCTCGCATAGAATTATAAGTATAAAAAAGGTAGCTTCCAGTTGATTTTAATTTCACTTTCTGAGTAATTATCATAATTTTTCATAGATGGATAGCTTTTGCCATATTTATGTTAAAAACAA